CCCCACTTAAGAAATCAGACCACAAAAAAAAAAAATATTCTAAGCATGCACATGGCTGATACTCCATATAAGGAGACAAAGTTTTTTTTCAAATTATGTCCCAAGCATTACAGAAGAAAACGTATTATCAACCTTAATTTCTATATGCATATAAGGGATGTATTTGTATAGCAGGAAAACCTAGGAAAGTAATGTAAGGCTTGGAGATTTCAAAGCAGCCATAGTCATCCACTACATGATACAAATTCGATCAATAATCCATTCAGAGCATGCAGCTTCATGTAAACCAGGCTTTTGTTAGGCAAATGGCTTTGTTTTGCATTAAATACTCCTTCAAAATTTTCTCTCCAGAACAAATCCAGTGAGCAGACTGTCAAGCCCTTTACAATTAGCAACATCTTGCATATACAATATTGAAACATGAAGAAACATTCTGCATTATTTATAAAGTTACATCCATTTATATGTAGGAAAAAAATTTACAATTTTACTTTAAGAACAAGATCTGCACTGTATGAACTGAGTCTGACTTTCTGATTAGCCTACAAAGGGGGAAAAAAAACCAGGCAAACAGCAAAACATATTTTATACAGCATTAAAACTTGTATCGTTAATAATTCAACATTTTCATCACACTGGTATAACACATTTTATCAGCATAAGGTAAGAGGTACAAGATAATGTGCATATGCTTATTCTCCTTTTCAGGACCCTGAAAGAAACAATTTACATTATTATGAAGTACTGTCACAAGCTAAATTACTGACTCAGTTTGGTTTCTTCACTTTCAATTTGTTTTAAGCCATATCTTACCTCATCGCCTTCAATCTTCAGAGAATATCCAACCATTTCTTCTCCTGCCAGAGTCAGCACTGAATCCAGAGACTGGTTTAGTGGATAGCATGCTTCGAACAGCGAGGAAGCCTTTTTGCCAAGAACCTGAGGATACGCTCCCTGATTTGCATTGAGTAGCTTGAGGTCATGTGCCCAAGCTCTGGTTTCTGATCCTTCTTACACAAGTACAGCACATCACGCCTCTGGAGATTTCCAAGTATGAGCATTTTTCCTGAACTTTTACTCTATTTCTTAGCTTGTTTTTTTCTTTTTATCCCCCTCTCCTTCAATCCCTGTGTAGAAACTGATTCAGCTATTTAGGTCACAAGCATGAAACAAGAACCCTAGCACACAGTTTAAGCCCACTCTCATGGTCAGCCTGCATTTTCCAACCTTAAAGACGCTGGTTTGACACCATCCATTTCCAATGTACAACAACCCCAAAAATAGCGATATTCAACATCTAGAAGATACGGTTCAGGCAGCTGCTAAACATACTTTACTTTATGATTTTAAATGTTTTTTATGGTTTCCTAAAAACGATAAACGAAAAACTAAAAGCAAGATCTAGTTCTGACAGACTTTTACTTTAGACTATAACTAATGATTCAAGTTTTTAACCCTGTATTAAAAGGCGAACCTTCACCTTAATGGAATAATAAACATTTCCTTGCCCCAAACAGAATTATTTCATTCTGTGTAACTTGCTGGTTCCCACTACTTGGATCTTTCAAACTGTCTTTCCCTGGAAATTCTAATAATGTATTCCAAACCTTAGGAACTGCAAGTCACTTCCAGGATAATTTTAAATAAGATTTCAAAATAACTAATGATATAAATTCTGAGGAGGTCAGTATACATATTGCGGTTGCAAAAGAAATGCAAATAAACAGGTGATGCACAGGAGCAAATCAGAAAGGTTTAACTTAAGAGCATAAAATTCCATTTGATTACACTGGATTACACTGGAAAAGATTTTATTTGACTATGTCAAAATCAGTTTAAATGTTGAAATGAGACCCAATCCATACATAAAAATATTGCTTTTGCAGCACTCCTAAATGATAGCAGGTTCTCTTTACTGTCCAAATCCCTTAAAATTTCAATTTTTATCAGTATGCTTTAAAAATTATGACATGTTGACATGACAATGCAGTTTTCATGTTTTCTATTGTTTTACAAACAACAGAAAGCTTATCCTAAGATATTACATAAGCATACAAAAAATACTTCCTAAGCTACTGTTGACAGGTTAAAGCTCATTACTCAATTTCTGATGCTCAACATTTAATTAGTGGCACACAGACATAAGTAAACCATAAAAACAGTAATGAACAAGAAGGTACACGTAGCATTTTGTGTTTTATATACTATTATCCACACATTTTAAAAAGTTGAGCTTTGAACAAAATAACAGAGGTTGGTTTTTTAACACATCACTTTGTTCCTAAAATTTCATTAATCTAATTTTGACATTCTAGAAGCACTACCTACAATGTGAAAGTAAATTCCTTCTCCCCCAGTAAATGAATCAGTCCATTTTTGAACTGCGATGAATAAAATACTACCTCTCGCAAAACAAATCAAAATGCAACCTTTCAAATATGCCATGGATTTTATATATGCCTACTGAAAAAATACTGAAATATATATTATATACTGAAATCCAGTTTTGAAAATCTAGTAAATATTCACAAATTGGGCATTATCAATTAAATATCACATGTCCAAAACTAAGTATTTAACACTTCTTTAAAATCTGTGTTTACAGACTGTTTTAAGCAATTATATAGTTATGAAGTGTGGAGTTCTGTATTATTTTTAAATTACAGCTATAATACTACATAAATTTCTAGAGAAGTACTAATTTATTTCTTGTTCCTTCACAGGACTAATTTAATCAGTACCAACTCAAAACCATCAGCATCACTGCAGCTACGCTGAAGGTGGAACAGACAGACAAAGCATTTAAACCTCGTGTTAGTGAAAAAGGACACATTCACCTGCACAACCCTTTGCTGCTCATCAGTGCTCCTTTGCCAGATACTATTTCCTACATCTGCCTGCTTAGATAAACACAGTTTAAAAGGCTTTTGTCAAAATGAGCTGGATCAGCAAATACCTATTGCTTAAACTCATTTAGATCATCCTAACAAAGTGGGGCTAGGAGTGTTTTCACGAGCAGCTCCATTGGGAGTTTCTGTTTCTCCTGAAACTCCCAAGTTCAGGAGGGGCAATGAATGATTAGGAACGATAACTTCCACTGGCACATCTATGTAGCTAGAGATAGGCATCACTCCGCAGTCAGGGAACTGTACTAAGCATCTAAGTGTCATTAAAGCAGTGGAACTGATCTTACTGCATGAGTAATCAACCGTGGTTTCAAAAAAACACCAGCATCTGAACTCAAGAAGACCTCTGACATCAAAAGCATGATTCAAATTGTTGTGATATTCACCTATAAAGTTTGTTGAGGTGCTTGTAAGGAAGTAGCAGAAGTGCAAGACTCAGAAAATGGTTTTATTCTATAAAGGAATAAAATAAAAATGAACAAAGATTTTAAAATGCAGAAGGTTTTTAAGAATGATAACCTACTTTGTTTTCTGAAGGATAACCTGTATCACTCACTGCTTTCTGTTTGAGAGAGGAAGGAAGATATAAAGATCAGTTTTAACTGCATTTGCTCACTCTATTACTAACATTTTTGCTTTTTTTCTTTTCTTTCTTCTATGCAATAAACATTAAAACCACCTAACTCTTGAAGTATTTGTGTACAACTAGCTCTAAGAAAACTGGAAGGCTGCAGTGCCTGGAGTCATCCAGAGAGTGAAGGCACAAGCAAA